CCCCCCCCCCCGTGTACTTTCAAGATGTTGATCCTATTGATGGAGAGTATTCAAGCCAACGAGGAGATTTGTAAATTGCATCTTGAATTTATTTCCTTGTATTTTTAGGAAACTCATAATCCCTATAGGTTTGGAAAACTCATTTTTCTAATAGTTTTGGCAAAGAAAAGCATATTATCCTTGTAGGATTGAGAAAATCTTTCTCTTATAGGTTTAAGACTACTTAGGATCTATATATATATATATATATATATATATATATATATATATATATATATATATATATATGGGTTATAAATGGGGACTCTCTGTACAATGTATTCTTCTCATTCATAGTGAAAAAATTCACTCTACTTCTACATCGAGGATTAAACTTAGCGGAACCTCAATCCTTATGTTACGTTGTTTTTTCTTTTCTATTTTCTTTGAGTGTGATTGTATACTAGTGAAACCACGATCTTCCGCAACAAACAACTAAAACTAAAAAAAATGAAAATCAATGTCAAAGAGAAAGACAATTTCACTACCAAGTAGTAATCATGTCACACAGAAAGGTACAAGGTAGTATTTTAAAATATAGACGCTACACGCACAAGAAAAATGTAATTTAGTTTCTCTTCCAAATATTAAAAACTTGTTCGAGAAATTGCTATCTAAGTTTAATAGAACTTCCTCTTGAAAATAGTTGGAAAAAAAATTAGAACACTAGGAATACTATTTTAAAACGCCCTAAAGATACTAATTGTAAAAATTTCAGGCATGTGGATTGTGGACAGTGGACATACCCTTCAATCTGGGTTACTATAACTTAATCTTCATCGTAATTTAACATAATTAAACAGTTACCTGCAATTAGATTTTAAGTGATCTTATTATGTATATATTTATACCGTACGGGATAAAACATAAATTATCACTAATATAATGCAATATGTGGAGCGGCAAAGACTAGCTAGAAGGAAAGGAGTAAACAACGGCCCTTGAACAAATTTGAGACCTCTAGTTTATGTTTGTTGCATGCAAAATATTGCCCATCTCAAATTCAAAACGTCATTGTACACAATACTAAAAGCCTTCTTTCATTTCTATCTTCTTTCACCACCATTTTTTTTTTCTCAATTCAGAAGCCATGGCATTACCACTTCTTTCAATTTTCCTCTTCTCATCTTTAGCCTTATTTTCTCTAACAGAATCCAAGCTCAATGTTGACTACTACAATAAATCTTGTCCTCAATTTGAAAAAATCATCCAGCAAATTGTCGTCGACAAGCAACTTGCCGCGCCCACGACAGCAGCCGGCACCCTCCGCCTCTTCTTCCACGACTGCATGGTGGGAGGATGTGACGCCTCGTTACTTATTTCCTCAAACTCCTTTGCCACGGCGGAACGCGACTCAGATATAAACCTCTCTCTGCCCGGGGACGCCTTTGACCTTATTGCACGAGCAAAGACTGCCCTAGAACTCCAATGCCCCGGCATTGTTTCTTGTGCTGATATTTTAGCCGTTGCAACTCGAGACTTAATCACCATGGTTGGAGGTCCATTTTATAACATTCGTCTCGGCCGAAAAGATAGCTTTGAATCATACGCAAAAGATGTTGAAGGCCATATTGCTAGGCCTAACATGACAATGGACACAATAATCAACATGTTTGCATCGAAAAATCTAAACATACAAGAAATGGTGGCTTTAGTGGGTGCACATACTATTGGTTTCTCACATTGTTCAGAGTTTAGCAAGAGAATTTTCAAATATAGCAACACTTCAGAAATTGATCCTTCTATGAATCCTACATTGGCACAAGCGTTACGAAAGCTATGTGGGAATAACTCGAAAGATATGGCGGCCTTCAATGACGTGATGACACCTGGCAAGTTCGACAACATGTACTACATAAACTTGCAAAAAGGTCTAGGGTTATTGGCTTCAGATCAAGCTATGGTTTCAGATCCTAGGACTAAGCCTTTTGTGGAGCTTTATGCAAAGGATCAAGATGCATTTTTTAAAGCATTTGCTCATGCAATTGAGAAAGTAAGCGTTTATCACGTTAAAACTGGGAAAAAGGGAGAGGTGAGACGCAGATGTGATGTTGTCAATCATTTACAAGTGAATTCCAACAAGAAAACTGCTAGTTAGGATCCAATAGCATGTTTTAGTCATGTGAAGGTGCTTTTGGATTATAGTTTTCCATTGAAAATGATATGTTGGGTGAAGATGTTAGGTGAGGTCTTGATAGGATAAGATTTATGTGTTTGTATTAGAATGCATGTCCAAATGTGAACAGTTTTGACCTCATGATAATTCAACATTTTTTGTCTATCAAGACCTCATATGATAATTCAATTATTTGCTTCTTGAAGTTTTTTGTATTTATTCTTCTCTAGCATTTTGCTTTGATGGTATGGTTGCTCATTGTTCCTGCTTCTTACCTTTTCTGAACCTTCTTATCTTCATTAATTACCTTTGTATTTTGTCTGAGTCGAGAGTTTACTGGAAACAACCTTTCTACTTTCTTAAGGTAGGGGTAAGGAGTGCGTACATACTATCCTCCCCAAATCCTGCATGTGAGATTTTACTGGATTTGTGGGGAAAAAAGGGGCTATATATTCGACAGATAACGCCCTTTTTCATCTGATGTCCGCATTGTGTCAACAAATCCGTCATCAATACCAGCTCAAGAAAACCATATGCAAATGGAAATAGCAAAAGTCAACTACTACCACCACTAGCCACGCATAAGCAGCAACTAACAGAAATGGTGAAACNCCGTTAAATGAACCTACACAGCGCAAATAGGAACTTAATACGGGCCAGTGAATTTGAATAGTAGATAGTTAACCAAAACCAAAAATATCAGAAATACGTTCAGCATCAGGGTCTTAAGGACATCCATCTGACGAGGGGTGGCAAGTAAGCAAGTTGGTCAGATATGGACGTTAGTCATCTTTGTCTATCATTACTGTTTTGTGATATGTTTGCATTATTTGATTGGGTCAGAAATAATATGCTAATCAAGCTATGACGATGATCTAAAGAGCTCATTTGTAATACCCCACCACTACTCAAAATTTCTAATAATTAAGGGTGCAAATGAAATACCCAAAAAGACAAATAAATCATCAGAAAGATCCAACCAAACAAAGAAGAGCATCACATGGTCAATTTGATCATCAATATTATCAGCCGACTAGTCTTATGGAAAGATCTCAAACAAAGAGCAAAATACCACAAAAATGTTAAAGTAATTTTTTTCCATATGTCTAAGCTTCGATGGGCAAACTTAGAGCCCATTTGAATTGCCTTACAAAAAATGGCTTTTCGACACAAATAGCTTTCAAGTCGAAAACAATAAAATTTTGGCTTGTTTTAAGCACTATTTAACTTATTTTAAGCATTTTTTTACTTTGTCAAACACTAAAAAAAGCTAAAAAGAGCTTAAAAGCTAATTTGAAAAGCCAATCCAAACACCCTCTTAATGCATGTGCTAGTTAAAGATGACAAGTACCCGGTTAAATAATAGTAGTGCGCACAAGCTAGTCAGCACACCATCATTATATAAAATAAATTTAATTTTATAAAATAAAATAAAATAAAAAGGAACAGCAGAACATGGTGTGACAGCTCGAGACTATCATATAGCTTTTGCCAAGTGTTATGTGTGCACACCAGAATCCTGAGGAACTAATGAAAATCCTAGATGCACTTATTTTAAGCTACAAGAGAAGAGATGTAGATGCTGCCTTAATGTAACATTAGGCTGACAAAACATGAAGAGCAATAATATTGTATTATTCACTTTTTTCATATTAGCAAATATATCAGACCACTATTCAGACAAAAGAACTAGTCAATTCTACACCTAGCTATTTGCCTGAATTTAACAAAGAACAAACTTTTTTCTTTATCCCAGTCCTCTCTTTTGTTACTTAAAAACTGACACAAGCATAGCTCATTCAAGAAAGACTTGTGATTGAATAATGCAATTTACATGCGTGAGTGTTGGGGACTGACATCAAAAGGTAAAAGAATAAAGAGGAAAGAATTTTACAATAGGATTTGTTGAGTGCTTCTCGTGTCACACCACCATTTCATAAATACCTACCAGTATTTCAGCGCAATGCTGATGCCAAGATATACGCCCTCCGAAGATTTCTCAGGTCCTGCAACCAGGTTCATTGCTTGGACAAAGAGTAAGTGCACCTTGGCACCAACTGCTACCACGTTTCTCTATAAACTACAAATAGAGAAATAAATGTGTATTGCGGAAGAAAGGAATGACAGGAAACTAGAATTGCATATATATATACATATATGTATATACATATATATATATATATATATATATATATATATATATATGAGAGAGAGAGAGAGAGAGAGAGAGAGAGAGAGATGCTCACCCTATTTTAACAAGGCTTCCTTTTGTCAACCTTTAAGGGAATGTTGAACCATTTCTTCTTCTTTGACCGGTCTCTTGAAGCCTTCTTGTCTCTTACTGGACCATCTTCACTGGCCTCCTTGGAACCACCTCTGTTCTTACTTCGATTGCTACTACTACGCTTCATTGCGGGAAGAGTTGTATAGGAAGCATGAATTTCATTGCGGTTCTTAAGAAGCTCATCGATCTATTGATAACCGAAGAAGTTAAAACAATATAATTTAACTTTGTCCTAGGATATAAAATCACTTCAAACTTACAGCTTGCATTTCTTGTGCATATCTACTAGTCATCTCAGTAAATTGCGCTAAGACCTGCCAAAACCAGAAAGGAATCAGTAAAATCAAATAAATAGTAAAGCAAGAGATTGGCGAATATGAGAAGGAGCACAGACCTCCCTATATTCTGTTTCAAACTTAGACAGTTCAACCCTTTTTGACAAAAGTTGAGCTTCTATTGCTCTAAGATTCTCTTTTTCCTCAGTAAAAGGTTCAGCGCAAACAGCTTCAATGGCGTAGCTCACACTTTTAAAAAAATTGTCACCTACAAATGTCAACCAGAAAACAGAAAGAAGCATTCAGTATTGAGTATTGTATTTCCATTGAATTAAATAGAGTTTTAAGGACGGCATGGGAAAGATACCATAAACTGCAAAGACATGTGTGCCAGCTTTTAGCTCGGTTATCTCACATGGTTGAAATCCATCCAGTTTCTTGAAAAAAGCTGAGTCTGGATCCTTTGCAGCTGTTACCTATACATTAGCTCAAGCAGAAAAAGGAATGTGAACATATGACCACAAACTTTAGAGAAACAACTAAAAATTGAAATTACGCATAGATATAAACTCACCGAGTTTTGGGTTTGATCAATGTGATAAACTGGGAATCCAAGAAAATACATGCCGGCAGATGTGACTTTACCTGTTTTTGAACTATCTTCCTGAAAATAAGCCACAATAAATGTACAGCAATATTAATGTAGTACTA